CAGGTGGTTCATCAGGAGTTTGGTATAGTTGAAGGTTTGATGACAACTGTACATGCAACAACAGGTCTCACCCGACTACATTGCCTATTACTTTCTTTTACTCATTTGATATGTTGATGTGCAGCATCCAATCCATGACTTGATTGTGCTTTTCATTATTCAGCAACACAGAAGACTGTAGATGGCCCTTCAATGAAGGATTGGAGAGGAGGACGAGGAGCTGGTCAAAACATAATCCCTAGTTCAACTGGTGCTGCGAAGGTAAAAGCTGGATAACCTGGAAGAGATTTAAGCTGGTCAAAACATAATTCCTAGTTCAGTGTAGATTAGTGTAACTGGTTTCATTATTTATGTAATCTTAGGCTGTCGGGAAAGTTCTTCCAGAGCTTAATGGAAAGCTTACTGGGATGGCATTCCGTGTTCCTACACCCAATGTTTCTGTTGTGGACCTAACCTGTCGACTTCAAAAGAGTGCTTCCTATGAAGATGTCAAAGCAGCAATAAAGTATGTCTAATGCTTTGTTTTTTGTTTTGTCTTTTGTTTTTTCCACAATGATTTTCATTTGGGAGTGTTCTCTGCTAATCCTGTGGATCTTTTTGGTATCTATTGTTCCGCAACTACCAAAATGAAGGTATGCCTCAGAGGGACCACTTAAAGGCATTCTTGGATACACAGATGAGGATGTTGTCTCTAATGACTTTGTTGGTGATTCTAGGTAAAATTATCTTTTGCTGGACTTGTACTTTTTGTTGGCCATAAAACCATTGTCAGCATCTTGAATATTATTGGTTTTCTTGTCTTTCTCAAATATACATGCTTAAGATGTGGTCTTTTGCTATAGAATGGGGGAAGAAAGAATCACCAGGTTTAAATTGAGATGCCACAAAACAAGAGCTGCATAACTTTGGTATCAACGTAGCTCCTAGAAATGCTAAGAGCGGATGTACCTTTTGCTAAATTAGAACCCTGAACCCTTCATTTTCCTCTTTCCGTTACTAGTCAAATAATTACAAGGGTCTTGTACTTTTTGTGTATCTTCTTTTCTTGGATGAATGCCTTACTCTAAATGATTCTGATTTGAACAGGTCAAGTATTTTTGATGCTAAGGCTGGGATCGGTCTTAGTGCATCTTTCATGAAGCTAGTTTCTTGGTATGACAACGAGTGGGGATACAGGTATTGGTTTCTTGAACTTAGCATGAACTGGTACTTTGTATGTGAACTTGTGTTGCACACAAGCACAAGCATTTTGAGTTTGTCTGAAGACAAAATCTCGGTTTCAGTCCACAAAAGTGTAACTATTAATTTAATATTCGCGATTTTTTTTGGGGGGGGGTCTTGGGGCATGAGAGGATGAGTTTTGTCCAGTTTCAATAATTTGATGTTTGGTCCTTGTAATACTCCTCTGGCCCTTAATATAAGACTTAACTGTTAAGTTAATTTTGGTTCTAAATGTAAGACTTATTTTTTATACTTATTAATTTTTCTTAAATTACTTCTATAGATATTCTTTTAACTATAATCAAGTAAATGAGGAGAGAGGATATTAAGAAAGATGATTATGGTGTTTTAAGAAAAATATGTCATGTTTTTTATAATTAACTAACTTACCTAACTTTCTTAATCTAATTAAATTAGTTAAATAGGTCTTATATTAAGAATCAGAGGAGTAGATTATAACATCAATTAGGACCTCTGGAGTTCAAAGTGAAATTGGAATGAGATCATACTCTTAGTTATGTACACAAATTCTGGAATTTCTAATGACATTATTTTTTAGATTAAAAAAAAAAAAGGTTTTTGTGTTCAAAATCAAAGACTTTTTGTCCAGCTTCTCCTCCGCCCCCTTCCTCCTTCCTCCTTTCTTTTGGCATCTAATCATTTTTGTTGAATGTTTTGTTTTGCAGCAACCGAGTGTTGGACCTTGTAGCGCACATGGCACTTGTAGGGGCTCTCAACTGAGCCCATGATAGTTGTCTCTTGTCATTGATGCTCCATTTTTTTTGTAAACTTGTATGCTAGGCTAATAGGGTTAAGAGGTTTTGGCTCTGATTGGGTTTGGATAAAGATGTGAAGTGATAATCATCACATCACGGGCGCTTGGGGAATAATTAAAGATACGAGTTCATCACTACACAGGTGCTTGGAATTTGTTTTTGTACCCAACGATTTGTAGTAGCGGCATCCTTAATTCGAAATCCTTGACATTGATCCGTGTTGTCTGGTCGGACAGGAGTCAAACTTTTAATACTCTTTTCCAGACATTTCAGACCCATTCTTAATTATTGATACATGGTAATAATTTAGTTATTCTGTTTCTCTTGCTATCTCGATGAAGTCCCTTTAGATTATATTTGAAAGTTCGCATTTTGTTGTACAGTTTCCTTGAGGTTTTGGTATTTATGATTTGAACTTAAATGTGATCTACACTACCTTTTCATTCAATCCTTCTGTAGTTCACCGCCATGCAACGGACCATAAAAAAAATTTCTGAAATACGTTTTCATGTATGTTTCCAAGATGGTATACTAATCTTATGAGTTGCGCGTTCTCTTTAAAATGAGAGAGAATTACAATGAGGTCTTCAAAAGAAAAAAAAAAGAATATATAAGTAAATAATTGTTATTTATTTTCTTAGAACTTTCTATTTCAGGCTATTATTGTTACTGGGATTTTTTAGTAGTTGTGTTGTTTGCTTAGGACTTCACAGCAATTCTCCCTTAAAATAAATGGGGGAAAAAAAAAAAAGTATTGCTGATCAAACAAGCGGGAGGAGGTTAACTAATAATCTCCTATTGAGAGGTAGAGAAATGCGTTATGCAAATAAAAGGCAAAATAACCAATGTTCACTTATTAGTGATATGTGGAGGCATAGTCACGAGCTGGACTTTCATTTATTGATGGGAACATTTTTATTGATGATTATGAAAGAAGAGTCGGCCAACTTGGGGGAGAGAAGCAACCTTCTTGTTTGGACCCATAAAGAGGTAGACGCGGTTGCAGCAGAAGTCTTGAGATGGGGTTTGGCCTTGCTGAACCCTAACCACAATAACCAATTGGTTGGTTAACCAAGGGTTTTGAGTTTGAGACTTCAGAACGCAGTAACGCAGGTGGTAGAGCTAGCCACCTGAAAAGGTCCCTACAAGACTCGAATCTGGATTAGTCTGGACCTATTGAGTTCCCGATAAATAGAGGCTAGCCTAAAATATCAGGTGAGGTCACTAAAAAAAAAAAAAACCAATGGGTTGGTTTTGTTGATTACGCTAATTCCATGTCAGTATCCTTCCCCACCATTTCTGGCCAGTCTACTCTGTACCCCTTTTTACCCACCACAACCAGATTATAAGACCTTGCTCATCCTTTTTTTTTTTCCTCCAAAAAAATTCTAATATTTAAAATTATTGATGTATTATGCATACATGTTCAAGAGGGTCATCATAATTTCCAAAACTTACTTTGATCAGATTGGTTTGATTGACAATAATTTTGTGAGAATTTTTTTCGAAAAAAAAGTGGTTTTGATAAAATTGATTCTTAATATTAATATGTTGATTGATTTTATATTAATATTAATTAATAAAGAATACCACTCTGATTCTTATTATGAGTTACTTATGGGGTATTTAATAGTCATTTTTTAATTTTAATTTTATTTAATTTTCATTAAAAAGAGAGATGTGAGAATGATTTGAAAAAGTAGAGGGAGAGAGAATTTTAATAAGAGTAAATTTGAAGAAGTTTATTAATTTAATACATTTTTTAGTGTGTGAAAATGAGTTGTAAGTGACTTATAATAACCATTGAGAATATATATGGTTAGAGAAAGGGAGATGATGCCTTGAGTACAACATGCTGGATCGGTACAACCACCAGTGACGCAAGGAGGATAGGCTTCAGATATGGCTCTTATCTTTTTGTGTTGTTCACTTCTTTCAAACTTGCGAACTGTTCTTTCTTATATACACACACTTTCACCAACGGTTCATAAATCATATGCATTCATATTTATTACACACAGATCACTATATTATGTCCCCATTGAAAACCTTGTAAAGATTATTCTGTATATGATATGAAGACTATGTATAATATTATTATTATATTCATGAATATCGTAATAAAATTTATAATAACTTGCATTATTTATGAATTATAAATACTATGATTCATTTCTCATACCTCTATAATTACCAAGATTTTATGAATATCCTTCATATTGAAGAGAATATTGCACGTTAAATATAATTTATCATTTTAAAAATTAATTAGTTGTGTTGGATCATCATATAATAAAAATGTTCATGTACATGAAGATAAAAGGCGAGTAAATAATTGTTTTTTGGGCAAAAGGTCCAGTGAATAACTTAATACTGATTCATGTTTATCTTCTTTTGCCAACGATTCACGTTATATCCATCACTTGTCATTAGGTATGAGATGTAAGTTTTGAAGTACAAAGACTTCATTTGGATGTAAAGAAATATGGGGGGAAAAACTCCAAAAAAATAATAATTTTTTTCATGTTACATATTCTCCCCTGATTCCCTTGCATTGTTCTTTTGAACTAATCATTAGAAAATCCTTGACTTGGTGAACAAAGTTGGGATGGAGATTCATAAGAATCAAGTTCAAATTGAGAATTAGTGTGGTAATTTTGTTGGAGCTCTTGTGAAGAAACACTTTGAATGCCTCTAGCCACCTTTGCACAGTAGATTCCAAGGGGACAATCATTGCAGACATGCATATTAAAATAGCAATGAACATAGTATGGAATCAATTGAGTTCAAACCATATTATGAAAAAGTATGTGATAGTCTAGAAGAATAATAATCAAATTCATTGTTTTTCTAGCACCAACCCATAAGATATACTTCAATTTAAAGCTCAAAATCAGAGAGTAGGACTATACAAAGAAACATGCTGCTTAATTTTTCTCTCTGCATATATACAATAATCAGTTTCCCTAATGTAGATGCAATCAGGAAATGCAATTATTCGACTATTTTACACTCTTGTAAATGCAACTTTAACTCATGCTTGCATCCAGATTTATTGATCAAAAGAGCAGCAACGTATCAAGATTACATGAAGCAGATTCCAATCCCAAGACGCCGTCGCTTTATCACTTCCTATACCTCATGGATGGGATTAGGCGGATCCCTAAAGCAATTACATGGTCAGCCCCTTCATTACCTCATAAATATTCTCCTTAAGCAGTGAGACCAGTTGAGAATTGACAGTGAGGATGAATATAAGCCCCGAGAAAACCTCATTCAGCCTTGCAAAGCTGAAGCCAGCACAGGACTCATTGAAGAAGTCCATCGGAAGACCTCATCTCATCTTCATATTGCTAAACTCCGGAAGGAGGATCTGAATGCTTATGCTGATTCCATTTTTCAAACATTAGAAGGTTAATCCTGAAGCCATTTTGTTTGACGGCTGTCCATGATTTAGCAAAATCTTTATGTATTTTTTCTTTTGTATAGCAAAAGACATCTCCTTCCGTGATCCCCTTAGTTCTCTGTATGGCTTGGAGCTTATTTAGCTGAAATTGGCCACGCAGGAAGTTGAATTGGAGTATCAGATATCAAAACTCCTCTTTCTAATCCTTTTTTTTTTTGGGGGTAAAAATCCTCTTTGTAACACTATTACCAATAATCTCCACAAGAACAAAATCCTTGCTTGAAAATGTGATACCTATTATTATCTCTGACAGTGATTTCCCTTTCGTACAGTTTTGATACTAATTTTGCGAATGAGTGACAATCAGAGCACATCCTAAGATTCTTAATTACCCTTATAGGCATACCTGCACTGGTGGTGATCAATCCAAAAGCCATGGCTAGTTTCTCACTGTGCCTACTAAGCAATTTCTCTTTTTCCCTTAAATCAACATCTATCAATACATTGGTTACATCTGGAACATACCCTGCCTCACCTAGCTTGCAGTTTATTTCCTTTAGCATTAAATCAATGTTTAATTTTTCTGGGTGTGATTGATCATCAGATATGAACTCGTGAATCATTCCATTAACCTCTATTGAACTTAATCCAGGCACTTTCAGAACCCCTTTTTCCTTCAATTGCAGCCTAACTTTCGCAACGTCATCCCATTTCCTTGCAAAGGCATATGTGTTTGACAGTAACACATGAACCCCTGGTTTTTCAGGGGCCAATTTAGTTATCTTATCAGCTGCATATTGTGCTAATTCAACATTTTTGTGCATCCTGCAAGCAGCAAGAAGAGAGGCCCAGATCACATCATTAGGTTCCATTGGCATCCGTTGGATGAGATCAAGAGCTTCTTCAAGAAACCCAGCTCTCCCGAGTAAATCAACCATGCAACCATAGTGAACAACCTGAGGACAGATTCCATGAGTTTCCTTCATTGAATTAAGAATTTGCCTCCCTTTCAACACAGAGCCACCATGGCTACATGCTGTTAATAGTACCACAAAAACAACCTCATCTGGTTTCACCCCTTGTTTGAGCATTTCGTCAAAAATCTCAATAGCCCCTTCAGCATTTCCCTCCGTAGCCATTGCTCCAATGGCAGCTGTCCAAGCAGACACATCTTGTTTGTCCATTTTACTGAAAACATGCATAGCACTTCTCGAATCACCACACCTTGAAAACATATCAACCAAAGCTGTACCTAGCTGCAAGTCAATATCAATGCTATTTCTCCTAATGTATGTATAGACCCACTTGGCAAGATCAAAAGCTCCTAAATACCCACAGGCAGATGCAATACCCACCATTGTCACCCTATCTGGTTTCATCCCATTGTTCTGCATCTCACGGAACAGCTTAATTGCTTCCTCAAACATGCCCTCCTGAACCAGGGCACCAATCATGGTGTTCCAAGATACAAGGTCCCTTGTTGGTAGCTCATCAAAGGTTCTCCAAGCTAGTTCCAAATCACCATCTCTAATAGAACCTGCTATTAAGGTGTTCCACGATACCACTGTCTTGTTTGGCATAGGCTCAAAAACTCTGCAAGCTGCTTCTCTTTCGCCACATTTCATATACATGTCAATAATGGTATTGCTTATGCTGTCCCAACCTTCAAGGCCATGCCTTAAGACATAAGCATGGGATGATTTTCCAGCAGACAGATCACCTAACTGTGCACAGGCTGCAATTGCCGATAACAATGTCACCCTATCTGGTCTCAGTCCTAGTTGCAGCATGTCATGGATTACTACTTGTGCTTCTCTGGCCATCCCATGGTGAATATAATTTGAAATGATAGTGTTGTAGAGAACCAAATTTTTATCATCACATTGATCAAAAAGTTGCTCTGCAGCTCCTATATCTCCACACTTCATGTACATATCAACAAGTGCATTTACCATGTGGGTATTAAACTTCACATCCAACTCATCAATATAGGCACATACTCTTTTACCTAATCCTAAATCCTTCAACTTTGCACAAGCAGAAATAACACATGCCATGGTCACCGAGTTAGGCTCAACACCAGCCTCAACCATCTCAAAGAACAGAGAAACTGCCTCTTTTGCCAAGCCCCACCCAGCATAACCATTGATCAAGCTAGTCCATGACACGACATTTCTCTCAATCATTTTATCAAACACCTTTCGTCCTAACTCAATCTTCCCACATTCTGCATACAGATGTATCAAAGAGTTCCTGACAAACAAATCTTTCTCTAAACCCATCTTGATAACTACCCCATGAACTTGACTGCCCTCAGAAATCGCCATGGCTTTTGAGCATGCACTGAGTAAAAACGGGAAGGTGTACTTATCAGGCTCAATGCCCAAGACTACAATTTCATTGTACAGTAGGATTGCTTCGTCACAGAGCCCACTGAAAGCATAGCCTCTTAACAAAGAATTGTACATGAACAACGAACCGATGGTACCTTGGTCCTCATTGAAGGATTCGATAGCACTTCGAGCATAGGACAAGCTCTCATAAGTACCCATTTCGACACAAGCGGAAATTAGCTTGTTAATGTAAGAAGCTTTGTGACAGAGACCATTCTTCATTATATCACAGTGAAGTTGTTGAAGTTCCTTCATGGTTTTGCAATTTTCAAGCAGCAAAATATGTGGGTTTTTAGCCATGGCTTTGAATTCCTTGTGGATTGTTGGAGTTGAAGGTGGGCAAGCCGAAACCATAGGAGATGCATGAAGGGTTGCAGCCATGGCAGAATTATTCTGCTAATTCTTAAACGAAATCAACAGTTGCAGTGAAATAATATCAAATACCAAATCCTGGAAAGAAAACATAGAAGTCAAAGAAGGTGAGAATCCGAAATCCCTGATATCCTAGAAGATGATAAGTGGATCCGAAGAATAAAGTCAGGTCCTCTGATCCAGCCACCAAAACAGTGTGTTTCACTTACTTTGGTCCTTCAAAGCTACTCCCTGATTTGGTCCCTTAGCCAAAATATCTTCTGATCCTTGATTGTCATTCTTCTAATTGTCAAATATAGTGTCCTTCCTCCTGAGTGTCCCGCAAATTAAATCCAAATAAATGAAAATGATCAAGTTTGAATAAAACTGCCATGATAAACTAATTTAATAAAAAGCTGATATTTTAATTAAATTAATAACAAACCGAAAATATCATTTGTAAAATCTATAATTACAGGACACTATTCACTCACCTGCTGATCTCCTAAAAGTATAACTCACTCATATTTATCCAGCTCTGAAATATGGTTTTTCCTCAATCCGTGAATGTCTCGAAAACAAACGCATTAATACTCAAATTATAATTTTATATAAAATCCCCCAATATCTCATCCACATTCCAAATTATCTCAAGCAAAACCATTATCACTTAAACCACGCTCTTCTATATAAGAACACGTCCATTTAATTGACATCCACTTCCTCATAGTCAATATCCTAATATTCTAACTTAGACTTGTATTCTTTGATTTATTTATCAATCATATGCAACATCTTTAGCAACACAATCACCATCTCATAGGTACCCAAAGAATAACATGAGAACCAGCGGGCTTAGTGTTTGGATTATAAATTAATTTCCTTCCCATATAATATCATGAGCCCCCACAACATTCAAATTTTCAATATAGAAGAGCAATTAACTCGTACTTCCTTCAAGTATCTCAAAGTAACCAAAGCATAAATCATAATCATCTCATATTCCTAACCAAACAATCTCCTCTATCCACATTAGATCATAATGTCTTCTAAACTAACTTCCAGAACAACATTTAAATTATACATAAACAAAACCCATGTTCTTCTCTTGCAACAATTTATATATAAAAGAAAAACTAGAGCTTTAATCTCATTCACGGAAGATATAATCACAAGCTCAATTAATAACTAAATATTATCACACCATATGCTACAATAAATCAATTTCATCTATCACACAATACATCAAACACGTTGAGTGCAATTATAATCAAGCAAATTCAACAAGCACGCTAATCCACAATTTCCACTCCAATACACACCATGACAGCCACAATAGACCAAGAACTATCATAATTTCAGCACAGCGACGCCTTGAAGAAAAGAGACAGCACCACACACAGCCACAAGCAAGCAACAAGAACAGGTTCAAAACGCATAGCAAGAGGAGTGAAGCTCACATAGACTCACACTTCAGTCCTGCACATCACACGATCACATAGGAGAAGAAGAAAGCGAGACACGGCTCTCCCAGACCCGCGACATCATCAGTTGAGGAGGTAGAGAAGAGAGGAAACGAAGGTCACGGCAATAAGCAAAAAGTCGGCGGCAGACGGACGGACAGTGGCGCAAACACCACCGGCGAAGATGGAAACCGAGAAGGATGGATGGGGGAAGAAAGGTGACCAAGTTTCAGGAGCCTCCAAGCTTTTTCCTCTCTCAGCGCAATGAACCGACGGGAAAAGGAGAAGACTAAAAATCTAACGCAACGCAAAGCACAAACACAACACAAAGGAGACGATGGAACCAGTATGCGAAGTTTGCGGAGCGAAGGGATTTACGGATGATGTTTACATATAGCGGAGATAACATCTGATTTTTGCCTTTTCCTCCTGTTTCTCGGCATTGTGGAGAAGAAAATGTTCTGCGTTGTTTTATTGAATGAGTAGCAAGTTATCCTGTTCTTATTTTGAAAAAAGAAAGAAAGAGTTTTTTGAAGAAATATATGATGAAAAAGAAATTTCCGTTATGATAAAATATGATTTTTCTTGATGGATGTGAAGGAGAATTATGAGAAAATGAAATATCTTTTTATCATTAAACATTTTCCCCTCGTAGTACTCTCTTACATTGAAGCTCAACTTTGTTTTGTCAAGTTTTGTTGTTGTTGTTATTTTAAGCATTAAATAAATATTTTGTATTGAAGATATATACATGTGAATTTAATCTTTTCTTGCGGAATTCATACCAATATCTAGCCCGAAGTTCAAATTTTACAAGTACGCTGGGACACCAGCTTTCAATTTTTACTTCCTTTTTTTTTGGGGGGTAAAAAATGGGGCAAAAACGGGCTTTTTTACCAAAATACGATAAACAGTAAAACTTTTTATTAAAATGCTACACTTTTAAAACTATTTACTAATATGCTACACTTAAAATCGTTCTTGGTAAGAACAATTTTCAAATTATACAAGTCGTTCTTGGCGTGAACGATTTCAGAAATCGTTCTTGGTGTGAACAATTTCACTTTTAAATTTTTTCTTAAATCAAAAAGTGAAATCGTTCTTGGTGTGAACGATTTCACCCTTGCATACAAAAATAAGAATCCCTAACGATACTCCCGTAAGGCTACAACATATATAGTAAATTTTACTTCATCTTACTTATATTGGATTAAAATTTGAAAACCCCAGTTTTTAAAATTTTTTTTTCAAATAGTGCTTGATGAAATTTTCTATCATTTCCTCTTCTTTTTATCTATCTCATACCAAACAGTACGTAACAAAAAAAGTTATGTTTTGATTGTAAATTTTTAATTGTAGCAATTAAGTTGTAAGACTAAATTATTATTATTATTATTTTGGTCATAGCCATAAAAGGCCCATGCCCAATACTTGATTTCTTGTCAAACCGAACAAATACCACACGACAGGCTTTTTACCAAAATACTACAAACTGTAAAATTATACATCAATATGCTGCACTTTTAAAAGTATTTACTAATATATTACACTTAAAATCGGTCTTCAGGTGAATAATTTTTAAAGTCATTTATCTGGTGAACGACTTCTTCATAATCTGTCCTTGATGTGCATGAGGTGAATGAAAATCGTTCTTCTGGTGAACAACTTCAAAACTTCATCTGCTGTTGAATGACTTCTCCCCTTCTCTCCTGATTAAAATGATTAGTATAATGATTTATCAATCATTTGAATGACAAAATCATGACTATATAATGAGAGAAAAATGTTATAATGATGTTAAAACTAATTGTGAAATAAGTATAAGATTAAAAATAAAAAGTAATAAATAAAGTTTAAGTTTATAAAGAAAAAATTATCCACCTTATTGATAGTGACTTCCAGTACCACATCTTGGCCTTCTTCTCATACGTTGTGGGCGTTGTTGTTGTATGTCAATTTCTTGAGCTTCAAATGTTCATTTGTTTGTGTAGTTGGCGTGTTCAAATCAAACCAGGGTGATTCATTTAAATGTATAGATTGTCGAGGAGTGACAAATGCTTCATTTGATGGTCCACCATGTTCAAAAGTAGAAGCATTGTATTCAGCTGAAAATAATGCAGGATTATCTAATAAAGTCATGAATGGTTGAAATTGAGAAGGATTGGTTGAGTTGGAAGGGGATGATGATGAGGGTGCCATGTAATGAGACTCAAGTTGTGTAGGATCGATAGAGATGAAGGGGGATGATGGTGACGGTGATATGTCAGAAGCCTAAGTAAAAATTGGAGGTTCCTGTTCCCTTGCATTTTCGTTTTCAATTATAGGTTGGGTAGACAAGTAACCACCTCGTCGCTTGCTTGGTCTATCACGAGGAATTTGTGGCTGAGGCAACTCAATTGTTGGTGGAGCAGGCTGAGGGTTTACATTAAAACGTTGTTCTCTAAGTGCAAGTAAAATGTTACGCTGGTCGCGAGCAACCCTATCTCGATGATCAACACAACTAGGGCATGTTGAACGAGAATTAATTGAAAGCCTGTATAGCTCCTCTGCTGTCAGACTGAAAAAAATAATAAGATATAAGATAATAAAACTTTTTGTGTAAAATAAAATAATATTAATGGTGAAAAAATGAAAAACTTACCGCACGACCTGTATCGCTACTGATACGTTGAATCCATCGTCTTGTATGTCTCCAATACCATTGCATGTACTGAGATATTCGATCAAGTTCATCAAATGCTATAGGAGCATTAACAATTACATGTGGCCATCTATCCCATGCTTGAATGAAATCTGCGTATTTGTCAATCCAATTTGTAGTTGTTCTACCTCGTAATTGGATCGTGTGGTAATTTTTCAAATGAACAGGCATGGAAGGAATTGGTTGCTGACGACCAAATTGCCGTAGTACACAGTCAGGATGATGCCATTCTATAATATTAAAACATATTAAAGAAACTGAAGCACGCCAAATTTCGGGTGTTGTCAAGCAATACTCAGGAATCAATTGGCGCACATAAGGAGATTCATATGGCTGCCATATTATCTCATCATCGGTCATTTTATCCAGAAAGCTCCTATATCGGATTAAAGACGCAGCAAGTGGACGTGGGTTTTGTCTCACATTTTTCCATCTGTTATTACAAAAAAGTAATGTTAAAAATTATATAATTTTAATAATATAAGAGCATAACAAATAGTTAGTTAATAAATTTAGCATACCTAAAACCCAAAGGAGGTAAGAGAGGGTAGATATCAGATTGTGGATCTGGATACCTAGGTTGTTGTGGTGCTAGCATAGGAAAACGATCCCATGCCCATAAATGAAGTAATGATAAGCATCCTCCAATCCCATCCTCAGTTGGGTTAGTAGCATTACACAATTCTCTGTATAGGTGAGCTAAAACTGCTGATCCCCAACTGTATTTTCCAGCTTCTTGAAGATCATAAAGTAGTGGAAGGTACATTAGATACACCCTGCTACCCGATCTATCTGGCATGAGATATCCACCAATCAACCTAAGGATATATGCACGAGTGAATTGTTGAACTTGTACATCATCCGCATTATCAGGTAGGTGATTAAAGTTCTCTTCCAACCAACTTATAAGTAGTCGCTGCCCACTTAGTCTATCTGCAGATGGTCTAATACCTAGAAAACATTCACACATGTCTTGCCAATTAAAGTCAGTTCGGCCAATAACTGCCATTCCTTCACATGGAAGGCCCAATTGTTTAGCTACATCCTCTAATGTTATGGTGCATTCTCCACGTGTAGTGTGAAATGTATGAGTCTCAGGACGCTACCTCTCAACTAGTGCTGAGACCAAACCTCGATCATAATCAAACTGTCCTACTCGAGCAGCACCATAAAATCCAGCTAATATAAGATATTCAATTATTTGATTAGGTGGGTTAATCATTTGATTAGCGTGCATGACTCGTCTAGTGTGTAGGACCCTGTTAACCTATAGTGGAAAAGGGAAAAAAATATTATTATAGAAACATCAATGAAATAATATATAAGAAATAGATTTTACTTACATTATCATTCCACACATGTTTGGAAATATGTTGGGTTTGCAAGTACAAAAGAGAGTGATCCTCTGGGCCAGGATTTATCACCTCTTCTGGAAGTTGTGCCATTTTAAAATGTCTCTGCATAAGGTAAAGGACAAATTCCAAATAATATAAAAGAAATCAAACTAATTATAATATAATCTTCATAAAACATAATGTTTTTATTACAAAAAGTGAAATACATAATTTATTGTCGAGATGCTACACTTTGTGGACAAGTAGAACGGTTATGACCAACTTGTCGACATAATCCACACTTGTTAGGTTCATTGGGTGTGGTCCAATCCATCTCATTTCTTATGCGACTTGAGCGAGGACGTCCTTTATCTCTAATCATTGATGGGTTAGGTATTAGAAGAGGACAATCAATCTGCAGCCAGTACATCTCATCTCCCACTGGTTGGAACTCATTATTATAAACCATTTGCATAGTTTCCAACCGAAAAACAGATCCACATATTGTAAATGGTCTATGCCTACTCGTGCACAAGCAGCAATGGCATGCATACATGGAAACTTTTCTGCTTGAAACTCTCCACAATCACATTTTCTGTCAATCAAATTCACCTTGCAACACCGACGAAATTGACGACATCGAACATTATATGGCTCCATAACCTCAAATGATGTTGCTATTCTGTTAAAATCTCGAACTACACAAGCAGATGCACTTTGTGTTGCTATATCTAACTTCTTTGTCATTGTCTCAGAAAATACCTTACCAACCATAATTTGAGCATGAACTTGTTGGGCACGTTTGACAAAATAATTATTGACTCTATACATGGTTGCCTTAACTAAACCTGTTATTGGTAGACTTCGAACACCTTTAAATACATTATTCATGCACTCTGCAAGATTGGTTGTCATGTGTCCAAAACGAAGACCTTCAAGGTCATATGCACGTGACCATTTCTCTTTTGGGATGGCTCCGATCCATCTAGCTGTAGGAGTATGGTGCAATGCTATTTCTGCTAATTCTCTGTCAACAACATGACGTTCATAAGCATACCCTACATATTATTATTAGCACTTGTTAGAATGATTATAAAAATCATATAGTTATAAGATCATAAAAAGCACAAGGAATCTCACCGATATTTATAAACTTCTCTTTTAACCAATTTGTTCCATGTGCTTTGTGAAGATTTGAAGCCACGTGTCGTAGACAAAAAACATGATGTCCATGTGGTGGTTGCCATCCAACTTGGGGTTGAGCAACAGCAGCCAAAATTGAACGATGTCTATCTGAAATTAAGCAAATTCCTGTTCTATCTTTTACAACACATTGGCGTACAAGGTGTAAGAACCATGCCCAAGCAGATCTTGTTTCCCCTTCAACTATAGCAAATGCAAGTGGCACAACATTTCGATCGCCATCTTGTGATATTGCCATAAGCAATGTGCCCTTGTATTTTCCATATAAGAATGTTCCATCAACTTGTATAATGGGCTTTAAATACGGAAACGCATCTATGCATGGCTTGAATGTCCAAAAAACACGATGAAACATTTCAATCGGTTGACCGTTTGTATTGACTTGAGAGCATTGTTTGTTTGAAAAATATATGCATGACCCAGGCATGAAGTGTTGAACTGCAGCTAACCATCTTGGGAGCAAGGAATATGAGGTCTCTCAATTTCCAAAGGCAATCGCAATTGCTAATTGTTTTGCCTTCCATGCTTTCCTATATGACACAGTATAACCAAACATTGATTGCATCCTCTCAATAATTTGTGACACTTTCACATCTGGTTTGTCAGTTACCATTGCCACAATGCAGGATGATATAACACCTGCGTCCAACTTTGGATGGTCTTGAGTTAATGACGTGCTCAAGCATACGTGAGGCCCCCCATATTTTGTAATTTGCCAATAGTTCTTGCTTTCCTTTTTGCAAGCCCTCACTCTCCAATTGCAATTATCTCCATAGTTAACACAACGATATTCTTCATACTTTTTACAAGAATAATAGACCTTAAATGTATGATGAACATGAACAGAATATAGCTTGACTGCACGTCTTAAAACTTGGACATTGCTAAATATTTTCCCAACATTTAACTCTTCATTATCACTAACATGCAGAATATCTTCTAATTCACCAAATTCAGGAGTTGTAACTGACTCAACATGAATTTGTGACAAGGAAGCATTTGTAACCTGATTTTGCTCATTCATCTCGTCATATTCATTGTCATTGTCACCATTATCATCCCCATTACCAGCATTTAAATAAGAATCATATTCTTCCTCATCTTCTGATTCATCCATGATATCTTCTACGTGAGGAAGAGAACATGATGATATAATGTTCCCACCATCTATGGGGAGTTCAAATGGTTGGAAACTTTCCATGTCATCACTAAACATAGATTCTTGTTCCATCATGTTCACCCTATTGCTACTTGATGGGGGCATATTTTCGACATAATCACCTATGGGTTGTGACTCAATATGGTGATTATCTGGTAAATCACATATGTTAGCATACAACTCTGCACATGTTAATTGAGTTGAAAATCTTCTAGTCACTTGCCACATTTGTTTTATATCTGTATCATCTTCCAAATTGCATGCTTGGTATTGTGGTGGATTTATGCATGTAGGATACCTATATACTAAATTTGTCACGTTTTGATAGGGAGGAAGTCGCAACTTTCGTCCAATAACTTGCTTCAATTTGCCCAAGGTAATGTTTTCATCAACTTTGATAATTTTCACATTATCAGATTCAAATGTTACACCAGCTGGGCCATTAAAAATTCGTCCATTTGCGAATACACACACGAACTCCTTTCTATGATCCATTTTACTTCCTAATCATTTCATTATAATCATTAGTCAAGTAAGATTAAATTATACAAATAAATTAACTCCACTATACCATTGCTTTTTTGTAAAATCAATATTTATTATTAGCTCAGAATATCCTATATAACCAAACACATAATAAAAGCCATATCTAAGGGGAAAAAATATATAATGAAAACTGCATAAATCCAAATTAAAAACTACTATAAAAGATGTGTTATTGCTATTATTGTCAAAATCTGTTAAAGTATAGTAAACAAACTTGATTACAAATTTAGTAATTTTCAGAACTTTTTAATCATTTTTTGTAAATTATTTATTTGCAATTAAAATAAATAAATAAGTTTAAGAAATAGAGTTTTTTTCCTTTTGTTTCTTTTTGTATTTCTATAATTTTATTTACATCAAGTATTAATTAATATATTATTGCACTATATAAAATACATTAAACATATATTTTTTTAATATTAAAATTCTTTCTTGTAATATTATTTTAATAATAACATATCATGAAGATTTTTTTTCATTTTACACACATATATATTATTTATACCTTATAATACCTATTTATTATTTCATTATTTTTGTAAAATTTAATTTAATAAATATTAATTTATTGCATGAAATTAAACATTTAATTGGACTAAAATCTTTTAGACCATTGGGTTGAAATGAAGGGTTCAAAAATAAAGATTTTTTCTCTAGTTTATCACATTCATTAAAAATTATTTACTTTAATTTCTTTTAAATTGTAAAAATATATTTCAAATTCCTAGTTTTTATTTATCATAGAATTTAAATGATATAAGTTTAAAAGATTTTATAAGTTATTTCAATTTATAATTCAAAACTTTTAAACACTTCTTTATTACAAAGATTTATAAACATACTTAGTTAAATATATATATTTATTATAAAAAATTAGTTAAAATTTTAATCAAATCTTTTATGTTTGCTTTGACTGATTGAAATTAATGTAACTATAAAAATATAATTTAAGACTTTATTAGAATCAGAAGTAAAATAGTAAATAAATTTTATTTTAATATTAATTTCAGTTAAAAATAATATTTTTAGAATCTTTTTAGAATACTTCTATTAATAGTGTTAACTAATTGGACTAGATGTATGCTTTTAAAATAGAGGAAAGATCTATGTAATTGATGCAAATTAGAAGAATAGTCAGAGTATTTTATTCTTGATTCAAAACACTCATATCATGACATGTCATCATCAATTAAAAAAAATACAACATAACAAATAGTGTGACAACCGCTCTTTCAAAACCATTTTAGATTAAATCCAACAATTTATTTGAATGATTAACCATGATAGAAAAGAAGAAACCTTAAAATTTTAAAATCGCTATCATGGTTAAAAGAAATAAACTTATATTACGAGCCACATCAATCGTTCACTTGGGCCTTGGACTTTCAAAGTCCAGAAATATCATTCAACCGTTAGCCCAAACCAAACTTACACTTTCAAACACACGAACTGATAAAAACAGTTAATATAAACTATAGAGCTCATTAATCAAAAGTCAACACTTTCAAAGGAGCGTTACACGTAGAGTCTAAAACGTCTCGGGCTTCCTCACGGCCCTATCATACCAGATAGTAGTAATTAAGAGTATTATTTTACAACATGATAGTAGATGAGCCCTATGTGGCAATATATAACAAGTCAGCACATAGAACAAAAGCAGGGAGGCTATACAAGCTAATCAGCACACTATGCCTCGGAGCCTTCCCTGATGGGCCACCACCTGAACTATCGCCTGAAAATGTTAAACCACGGGGTGAGACAAACGCCTCAGTAACCAACTTTCCAACTCATCATACATACTAACACGTGCTCGTGAGGTGTCAAGTGGGACAGTTATTAATTCTCGAGAAACATAGATATATCCACGAAATATAATTTCAATCATCCAAACCCTCACTATGGGGGCCAACACACAAGCCACATAAGTCTATCCCTCACTCTGGGGGATCAATCAAACATATGGGCCTATCCCTCACTCTGGGGGACGAAGAAGAAGCCACAAAGGCCTATCCCTCACTATGGGGGACGAAAGAAAAAGCCAACCAATGTGCACCAATGGCGGCCTTACCACGTGGTAGGATAGGACTCAATTCCAAAATCCAAATAACAACCAATCATTCACAATATAATAAAAATGTCTCAATATTTTCTCAGTATAATCAATAAGATATAAATCATATATCTCTTCCAAACTTCTCAATCAGCATTCCAAAAATCCCACAAGACAATTTTCATAACTCAAAAGATATAACATATCTATTCAAGTTCCAAATCTCAAATATTATTCTAAAAATAGCAAAATACTCACAAACAACATATTAGCACATATAACAAGTGGAAAGTGGTTACCTCTCGCCAAAGCAATACTAAGGATTACCACAAGGTCAATCCTTTGCTCAACCAATAATTAATCTACACAATTAATATAACCACATATCAATATAAACTAATTAATTAATTAATTAAACTTCTCTATATTATTTAAATTTTTACTCTAAATTTCCGCAACTCTCATAACTAAAAAAAATTATTAAGTATTTTAGAAACAACTTAAAATTTCTAACAACCCCAAATTATTTATTTACCATCTCCAAATTATTTACCTTAATAAAAAGGATTTTCATAATTTCCGAATATAAAATTACTATGTTCTAAATTCTAAAAATCTTCATTTAATTTAAACCTCAAAATCACACTATCAAAAATTCAATAATACTTCAAATATTCATAACTAAATAATATAATTAAAACTTTAATGGTATAACTACCATATATATATATTTCCATAAATAATAAAATTTTTAGCTACAATAATTATTTTAAAACCTCTAGTCACCCAATAAATAAAACTAAACCGATTAAAACCTCAATAATATATCAAACAACCAAATAAATTATTTAACTTAAATTTAATCGGTAAAAATATGGTATATCTCATACATAACAGATTTTCCACTAAATAAATTAATTTTAAATACTAAAACTAGCAAATAGAGAAATCTAAACCGATTAAAATTAACAACTCATTTATTTCTAAATTTCAATAGTCATCTTTTATCAAAACTCAATACTTATATCATATATAAGTCTCAAAATTTTCTCTAATCAATATGGTAATACTACTATTAGGAAGCATAAAATATATATGAGGGGGTATTTAACAACCCCAAACATTTATTGAGGGGGTTGAATTCTACCGCAACCCCCTCCAAATTTCTACCTCCCCTGTCAACTTTCCACCGAATTCGGTGGAAAGTTGACTTATATATTTTTTTTTCTTTTTTTTTAAATAATAAAATATTATTATATTATATTATTTTCAATTACTTTTTTTTTTTGAATTTTTTTTTTTGGATATTACAAATAGCATGGAAAAGGCAAAATGAAAAAAAAAATTATGAGTGCTCTTCATTCATTTCAATTTTACTTACACCTTATTTTTACCTAAAAAATATATGAAAGCAATGGTTCATTAGAAGTGGGTAGAAGACTTTTTTTTTTTAATTTACCAACTAAATATATACCACATATTTGATATTTAGGGCGTATATATAATTATTTTTCAATTTTATCTTACCAAATTTAAACTTCTCAAGAAGTATACTTTCATAACAAAAAATAATAATCTTATAACAAGAAAAAATGAAGCTTATATCAAAATCTTAACATCTTAAAACAATATAACATATGATAGTTTTACCGTTAAAATAAGAGGCACCTAGTTTAGAAAGAGTACAAATATTCCAAATTGTTGAACCCACCACTCACTTCCTGAAAATTAGAACAATGAAATATTAACTCATCAAGGATAGTATGGATGAAAAATCAAATTGTATATCACAACTATAAATTTTTTTAAAAGAAAAAATAGAAGAGAAACAACATACTTACAGCAGCAGTAAAAGAGCTTGTCTTGTTTGGAAACAAGAATGAAAAATTAATAGTACAGGAGAATAATGAAAATGAAACAACAAGTGAGAAGAAGAAGAAGAAAAGAGAACTTGGCGAAGAAGAAGAAGAAGAAGTGAAGAGTTGTGAAGAGAAGGAATTCACATATCATATATATAAAGCCATAGCTGTAGCCTCACGGGATTCTCGCATGCTATGTCAAAGATGTTTATAGAGCACACATAATTGGTTGGTCTTGCACGCATAATTGGTTGGTTTTGCATGCATAATTGGCAGAAATTCAGACGCATAATTGGTTGGTTTTGCATGCATAATTGGTAGAAATTCAGACGCATAATTGGTTGGTTTTGCATGCATAATTGGTAGAAATTTAGACGCATGGTTTTGCACACATAATTGGCAGCAATTCAGACACATGGGGTGAACAGGAAAAAGTGAAATCGTTCTTGGTGTGAACGATTTCACTTTTTCATTTAAAAAAAAAAATTAAAAAGTGAAATCGTTCATGCCAAGAACGACTTGTGTATAATTTGAAAATCGTTCTTGCCAAGAACGATTTTAAGTATAGTACAGTAGTAAATAGTTTTAAAAGTGCAATATTTTGGTAAAAACTTTTACTGTTTATCGTATTTCGGTAAAAAAGCCAGCAAAAACGTCCTATAGCCCTTTATTCATCAGTGAAACAAAAACGTGGGTAAGACATACTAAATCTTTCGGATGAGTATCCACCACACTACTAGGTTACTTCGATTTATATTGGACAAGAATCAAATTATTCCTTTGGATTGGATATATGAGTAAGGAATTGGCTACACAAGGCAAAAATTGAGCAGCATGCTTTTTTGTGCGAAATGTCAATTCTGCCATGTTCTTTATATCTAATACCTAATCAAATTATTCAGTTTTACTCCTTCCAAAAGGATCGATGCATATACATCTTGATCATTTGATTGTTGTTTTGCATCCTTGAGGTCACACTAGTGATATTCTCTTTATTAGTATGAATGCTCTGTGGAAAAATCAGAGTTGACAGGTTACGC